TCAGCAAGTTTGTTTTCTTAAAGGTAATGAAGTACTCCCACTGGATACGCAGGCAGTGATAGCTCAGAACAGAAAAAGCTGGGCGTAAAGTATGAATCCAATCACCACTCCAAAACACCCGTACCTTCATCACCTTTGCCAAGCTTCACAGGAGTTTTGTTCTGTCCTTCCTTACTGTTCACTACAAAGTGAATATTCAAGTACTTCCCATGATACAAGCTACTGTTAAGAGAGCAGTCCGACAGTCTGTTCTGCAAACAGAGCTGGATGAGACAGCTTTTATTGGTAGTACTAATCAGAAAGCATCTGTCTTTATTTCCACCAGCCAGTCAGGAATGTGCAACACTGAATATATTGTTTTTAGCAGAAGATGGATTTGCAGGTTTAGTCTCTTGATCAGATCTACATTCCTGTTCAGAAAAAACTAAACAGTGTCTAAGTTGTTTTTCTAATATTATTTTGCTAAGAAATCTTTAATTTGTCCAAGCTCAAGCATCCTCTCACACCCACCCCAGACCCCAAAATACAAAGTTTGATTACAGAGTAGATTTCTTACCAACTGGCAAAAAGGGGACAAGATATTCAGGGAACACCATATGGGCTTTGTGGCCACAATGACATTGCCACTTTAGGGAAACTCCTTTTTTTCCTACCTTTCCACTTGTGATGCTCCATAAACACTGGGCTACCAGGTGAAATCTGCAGACTTGGAACAAACCACTCAGCTATAGGCTGAAACTCTGCATGTGCTTCCCTCTACCCTCAATTCTTTCCAAGCATCATTAATCTTAGGCTTTTATGCAGTATGTGGAAAATAAAGCCAAACCTAGAAGTATCGTGTGTTTGAGTTCTTTCCTCTGCAAACAATTAACAGTTCTCCAGTAATGATCAAGTCACTGAGATAAATTAACACATCAAATACAACGTTAGCTGTCCACAGCCCTGTGAAAACATTGCCTGGAGAGTCAGCGTCTCCAGGTAGTGGAGAAATTCCCAGTTCATCTCACTGGAAAAAGAGAAAAGGTTCAGAAATTTTCTATCAAGAAGATCTAGAACTCAAGAATTCTTACAACTTAAAAGTTATAACACAAAATATTCGTTTTCAAAAACCTAAGGATATTTATTGAGCAATTATGAGACCACTGGAAGTTTTCATAATTGGATACTACAAAACGTGGAAAGTTTTTATAAAGGAATATGCAAAGTTGCCTACAGGACCAAACTAATTTAACTACAGACAGCAGATAAAGAAAACAGTTTCACTAACATTATAAGCAAGTAATGACAGATGAAGGCAATACAGTACACAAAAAAAAGATTTCTTAGTTAAAACCAACATCAGTACAGAGATTGATCTTCTCACTTCTACTGTTGCAGCTCAGTCTTGTTAGGAGCAGATGGGCACCTGTTGCAGAGGAGAAGTATCACAAGAAGTCTAAGTAGACCTGAAATAAATAAACTGTATTTCAGCAAGCAATTTTTAGAGTAATCATGAGCAGGTGAAACATTCAACATTCTATAAAAGCAGAAGTGTGTAGAAAGATCACTTTTACTTGTACCAAGATACAAAACATAATGATACAGTGATCAAAAAGCTGATCTTGTCGAGTTTTCTTTGTGTAACGTGGCACCATCTTGATGCATCTAAGAATGCATCGTGCAGAAATGCTGAGTGACTCCAGTTAATATGCAGAAAGATCCCTAGGAAACAACCAATGCTCTTCTGTCCTACCACTATGAAACAACTGTCTTCTGTCCTAAGTAACTTATTTTTAGAATAAACCAGAGATGACTCACCCTACTGTAACATTAAAATATACGCATCATTCCTAGTGCCCCAAGGTTGGCACAAGCAACTTGTACATGTCAGAAAAGCATCTAAACCTTGTTAATGTTTTCAGAAATTCATTTAAAGATAGAAACAGGTCCAAAAAGATGCCTGTCTAAATGCATTGCAATTACGTTACAATTATTTTCCAAATACACAGATATGCTCTGTCTTTTCTCAGCTCATTACTGACTCAAACAATTTGCCCTTCTGGGATCAATTGTTTGCTAATAAATAATTGTTTACAGTCACAAAATGATATTAAGGAGTATTCTTATTAGTTTTCCTTCTACAGCCTAATAAGATTCAAAACTAGCTGATTCCCAAGAGTCTAACCTTAACCTTGCTGTGTTTAACAGCCCAGGAAATGATGAACCATCTGTTTCAGAAAATAATGGAGGGCCAAGAGGAAATATTGTTTAATTGTAGATTAACCTCCTCATACGGCAGAATGAAGCATCTACAGAATTAGCAACCACAACTAGCAATGAACAAAAATAACTGAAAGCAGCTCTTCCTATTCCAACACCAGCAGCAGCAAGTATTCTTCCGTCACCTTTTTTTTTTAAACCCTCCCAACTGTATGTAACGAGTACAACCCGATTTTAAAAACAGATTTAAATTATCATATTTGGATTTTTTTTTCACTTGAGGAAGCCCAGAGATAAATACTGAAATAGTTCTGGTTTTATTTTTCCCTGCGAGTATCAAAATTATTTTAAAACAACCATCTCCAAGTGAGAGATGGTTTCTTTATTCTTCCGTAACTTCCACCTCACATCTTCACAGCGATAAAATGGCTGCTCCGAAGCAATGTGTAAGTCACTTAAGGGAGGAAGGGGAAGAAAGTCTTGAGGTTTTAAACTCAAGAAGTCCGATCACTTATGCGTGCCTATTTACACAGCCATTTACACTCTAAATAATGGAGACAACCAGGAAAAGTGTAAGACAGTTTGAGTACTAGGATTTAAAAAAAAAAAAATAGCAATGACAAACCACAGGCATTTGAAAATAAAAACAACTGCTCCTGCGCTGGCATAATGAAGAGCAGTGCAATTCTGCGCCGTGACGGCAATTTTTCTATGTAACATTCACGCCAAAGCGAGCTTAACAGAAATCTTTTACCTCCATCAATCAGTTTGCCCCATTTTGACAGCAACAATGATAGAAAAGTGTGTTATCAGAGGGCTGCAGCAAGCTCCAATACACAGGAACGGAGAAAGCTTTCCCTTGATTTTACACAAGCTTCCCAGCACAGTATCGAGATTCACTTCTGGCTGTGACAGCTGGGTGCATACTCAGCGTGTAAAGATTTCATGAATTCTAAGTTTTAAATATCCAAACGCAGCAACATTTACTCCAATAAATTATGCTTGAATTCTTCACTTAATTCTTGAAGCAATGAGCTAGCAATAACTCCACAGCTTCAAATAATAGCACCTATTCAAAAAGGATAAGGGTTTGACATTCTTCTCCTACTGAACAACTAGGCACAATTTTATCCATCAGACGTCTATCAACCTACGGATATTGAAAGCTTGGGCAAACAAGATAAAATCAAAACCAACCCTACTGTCAAGCTGCACTATCTACTGGCATCAACAACGCTATTCATGAATTTAGGAAAATTAATAAATCTTGGGATGAATGCTCAGAAAGGCTCAAATACAGGTGAAGCATACTCACTTCGGTTTTGTTTCTGCATCTGTCACTTGGCGAATATAGATACCATCTTCAGGATGTCCAATGTCATCCATTTCATACATATATGAAGAAGCTATTGCAAGGGTGGTTCCATCGTTGCTGAAGGCGAGTGACGCTATGCTCGTGGGATACCGATGGAACTGACACAGCCGCTTCTTATTAAATGGATCCCAAATGTTTACAAATCCATCGGAACCTCCTGAAAATCGGATTTTTAAAAACTGAATTATAATTGGGAGAACAGTAAGACTGAAAAGATACAGCAAAGGAAAAAGAAAAGACAAAAGGAAGGAAAAGAGAAGACTACCTGGAATTACTTTGTCAGTAAAAACACAGGGTTAGAGCGAGTTGTATAATTCAGTAAAGAGCAAGAGCATCTCCCCAAATCCCTGTTAAAGCATTGAACTCCAACTGCATCAAATACTTTAAAAACTCTGCTCCTTGCAAGAAACGTGATTTAAATGCTTAAGAAGTAAGGGCATACGAAGTAAAGGCTGACCTGTTTAAATCAAAACTAAAGGAACTGACACAAGTGTTACAAAAAATCAAGCCTGTACTCTACCTGTAGCAAACGTGTTGTGGACATTATGGAAAGAAATAGCATTGACTGGATAAATCTGCTCAATGTTGTTTTCCTTCAAACGGTGACACTTGAAAGCGTATTTCTTCTTCTGGATTTCTGGACTTGGATCCAAATATTCCACTGCAACACGACCTTCAATAGAACTTAAAACATAGCCCTACCAAAAAAAAAATGGAGATACGCATTTTAGAAGTTTACGACTGGAGATTGCAATACAATTTACCTTACAGCTGTTTAACTTCAAATAAATCAAATATAAACAGCCTTAAATTGTGTGCAACCAGCAGTTGTTTGTTACCACACATCCACAGCATCATCAAAAAAATCTGCTTCTGAGAAAGAAGTAATGCAGAAAACAGCTTTCTGAGAGACTCATTGAACCCAAGTTTTAAGTTGACACTGAGGCTTTTTTAATTATCTCTGTAGATCCAAATACAAGTTGATTTGGGGAAAAAAAAATGTCAAGAGTTAAAAACCCCTTGTAATTGCCCACCTATCCTCCAGGGCCTAAATATCTCAAATATTAAAGATACTCATGGGACTACTTAGTTTCAGAATTACATTACTTTAAAATGAGTTCAGAGCTTTATACTAGCAACTAAACACTCAACTTGAAATAGTATTTTCAGTGCAACTCGATTATAAGTGGTGTCCACTTATCCAGTTAATTACAGTCCTGACTGAGAGCAACCTGAGATGCTCTTACTGTAACTTCTGAGTTAAGCCCATAATGGATCTTTTCAGAAATGGGATTGTAATGATATCTAACCATAGTAAGGTTCTTTAAAATCCATAATACAAAACAATCTGGAAGATCAGCTTGTTTAACCATAACTAGAACTGAAAATGGACGAAGTGTTCATGCCAGTTCACTGACACGTAACTAGGTCTCCCAATTCCTGTACTACCACTACGTACATGGGAAAACTCCCTTCCAAATTACTTTGTCAGAAAAAAAAGCTAATCTTGTTGCTTTACTTCAGAAATAGCACAGATACCCTATGTTAACCTACATGGAATAGCTGTATGACCATCTAAATTGTACAATTCCCTCTAGATTATGGATCATGGGTTCTTGAGTGCCTGACAGAGTTTAAAAAAGCAAAAAAGAAAAACCCCACAAATGACATTCATATAGTTTTAATCCTGTCCCTGTTCCCAGCCTGATGAAGAACCTACAATGCATAAAGGCTGCTGAGCAACCACCAGCTCTGTCTTCCTCTCTTTTACTGCAGCTTTGGGGCAGGGAGGGAGAGCATGCTTTGCTTTTAATTACATGTCAGGATCGCGATGCATTAGGTAGATTAATTTTTAAAAAGGAGACAAAACAGAAAAAAACCCCACATAATAATGCTGGTAAATCAGTGGCAAAAATTCCTAAGCTACAGTATTAAAAAGAGTTAACCTGGAACAATTTGCCTCGACACCAACGTTTTTCCCCCCTTCAAAGTTTGATTACGAAACTTTGAAGACGAGAGGTTTTTTTAAATGAAAGATGCAGAGAACCTGAAAAATAAGCTACCATTTTTCCTAAAGAATATTCAGCAGAACTATAATTACTGATGTGGTTCCCATACCTGTTTATTCGGAAATGCTCTGATGCAACGGGTCTGGTATTTCAGACTTGATTCTCTTCGCTGCTGAACATAACCCATGTTCCGCAAGTCCCACACCAGCACTCTCCGGCCTGCCGTGCCCACAATTAATCTATCTCCAGACACAGAAAGTGTGTAGACCTTTAAAAAAAAAGACAATATTTACAATATTTAACACTTCTCAGCCTGGATAGCCACTGTTCTTTGTACAAAATAAAATGCCAGCAATATGCAATAACAAAACAGGTGACATCTACAGTTAAGTCAATAGCTATGGAATTCCCTTTAGCTTCAATTTATAACTCAAATTTGGAATAAACAGCAATAGTGACATTTTTGATTATTATAACATGAGATTTCTTCCTTTTGCTGCTATTACCCATGTTTTAAATGCTACACATGTACAGAAGTATCCATGTGTAATTCAAAAGGGAAATCAGTATCATCCAAGTTTTCCTCAAAACTTATTTCAAGCATTGAATTTATTGGATATTTCAAAGCAAGAGGAAAACAGGTACACAGTAACAGAGGGGAAAAAGGGTATGGATATTGGAATTCATCTGCACAGCTTGCATTCCCTACTTTAGTTTAGTCCTACAATTCCACATCACACATTTTCTTTGGTTTTCCTCCATCTGGTAATCGTGTGTTTCTTTGTAAACAAAATACTTCAAGTTTAATACTTCGTATTAATAAAGGGAAATAAATTACCAATAATTCATTAAACACAGTAAAACCCAAACAGTTCTTTGCATAGTTTAATCAAATTAAGTGAAACTGAAGGAAGCATATGCTTGGCGTCATTAAAAAAAATACTATGGCTTGGAATTTCAACTCTGCTCTAAAAAAATTGCTCAGAGGTTCTACTTTTTGTTTATCAAGTTTCTCATTGAAATATTCAGCATATAAATAGTTCTGATTCCAACCACAGTTTGAGATGCTGTTAATACGGAAATATGTTAAAGAAAGAACAACAGTTCAGTCAAAAACTCTGTGCTATCACAGGAATTCCGAGTTGTGAATACAGAAACACAGTGAAACCCAGCTACCTATGGCTGTTCTGTCACGGAGCTGCTAACAACATCAAACTGTAAGAACGAGCTTGTTCAAAAGCAATTTAATGCAACTAAATACATAGGAAACCGATATTGCATATACCTCAGAGCAAGAAGCAAATGTGTAAGAGATGTGGTGTCCTGCCAGAGGGATTCAATTTGCTTTGGCAAGTGCTTGTACAATTTCACTCAAGCACCTAGTTTTACTTTCTGGTTTTCTGATAGAGCCCAGTAAAGCTATCAGGTTCTGGTAATGCTGCACGGAAATACCAGACAAAACTTCTCTCTTCATTTCCTATAAACATTGCTGGAGAAATCATGTTTTCAAACAGTTAATTTCTAATAAAAGAACCTAAGCAAACAGGTGTGTATGGGCCTGGATACACACATAAAAAACTTCCTTTAACCAATGCACATTCATTCAGCATACATTCTTGCTCTAAAATGTGATTATTGCACTTCCCTCTTAATACATCTTAAGATGGGAAAATGTCTTAAATCTTCACACAAGAGTCACCTAAAATTTCTGATGATCCCCGTTGTCAAATCCCACTTATGTATATAAAAAAGGGCAAGAAAACTGAGTCAACATTAGTTACACACTTTAACAACAGTCTTTTCAAATCTCCCTTTGTTACAGATGTAAACATTGATTAAAACTATAACTAAACACAGTATAAAATGTGTTTGCATATATGTATGGAAACAAAGGCATGAAGAAAATTAAATACCTTAAACCACCTTTACAAACTGATGTCACACCTGTATAGCAAGTATTCTTTCTCCAACACACAATCATAAATCAAATGAAACCACTGTCACGCAGTTGAGTAGGTGTACACATTTATCAAAGGCAGCATTAAAAAAAATGACATAATGAACCTTGCTGAACCAATAAGCAGCTTGATTCACTGTGGCTGTCCATTATATGATATTCTGTCAGCAATTTATCACAGTTCTTTACATGCTACATACAACTATAAATCAAAACTAGAAATAATGCAATTACTTTATTCTGAGCGAAGGTCTTGCCAGAAGTAGATTCAGCTGTGTTGTAACAAAAGTAGAAGTTATTTAGATGCAATAGGGAATCTACTGATGGCTCTTAACCATGACCTGACAATACGATGTGACAGAGCTAAATGAAATTTTAAAAAGGCATAGGGAAAAAAAAAATCGTATGTAAAATTATCCAGTAACCCAGCCTGAGTTTAGGAGCCTATAAAAAAACCCTAGCAATTACTGTTCTATAATTCTTTCAGTGACACCACTGTAGGCAGTATAAAGATTAACACACCATACAACCATTAGTAAAAGCTTACGACATTACATTTTACCTTATTTCTCTTGGTCTCTCATTAGCACTGAGGATTTCAGTATTAGCAGAATGTCTGGATTTACTAGGCAGGTATGTTACAATACAGGTAATTCTGTTCAATCTTTTAATATAAGTGGAAAAAAAAAACCAAAATATTGTTTCAGGCAACACTGTTGTCCTCCTACTCTATCTCTATGCACATTTCAAACCAATCAGACCCTATGACTGCCAGGATCTGACAGATCTAAAAGTCTTAATATTTAAGGAAATCAACAGTGCATATCACAATTAAGCTAAGGGTTGTTTGAGACTGCATCAATTTTACATGCCATTTTTGTTAGGTTTTCCTTCCTCAAGTTTGTTTTAAATTATAAGAATTTGGTCCAACACGAGCGCTAAGAATTAAGTTATGCTCTCCTGCTGACGAAAGCTCAAAGCCTTGACCTAAAATTACAATATATTTTGAACATCACTATTTTAAAATGCAACATTTTCACAGCTTAAAAATCACTAAAGAACTTTTCAAATTCAATTCAGTTTAAGAGAGTGTCCTGGATGGCGATGTTTAACCAGTCACGGGATGTATTATTGAATGTATTCCCTGGAACACAGCAGCCAGTACGTACCTTTTCAGGTTGAGAGAAGGTTCCTGCATTACAAGGAGTTCTGGGATCCCACAGCTTAACTGTTTGGTCCCAGCTTCCAGTCACCATGACATTCACTTCTGGGCAATACTCAACACATCTGATAGGAGCATCATGGGCACCAACAAGGTTTTCTGTAAGAAAATACAACTCACTGTAAATTTTATTGGCTCAACAACCAGTCAGAACATGTTGAATAAAGAATTAAAAAAAGGAGATGCTACTGTGGTACAAGCAGACTATTTTCTGACATTCCCACAGGTGTATTAATACGTTAAGAGTCTCTTTGAGGATAGTTCAGTCTCCAGAAGCATAACCCTTGCAAAGATCATAAATGTTAAATTTTAACGTATGTCTTCTGAGATTATGAAAGGAAGTTAAGAATTTTAGGTAGCCACAGAGAGATCTTCAGATGTATTAAGTAGTGCTCAGTATCAAATGGTATCACCACCTGTGACGCAGACACTCATAAAGCAAGTTAAGCTTGTATATATTAACATTATGACAAAGGAAATTAATATTACATATTAATAAAAATATTAATACAAACACTCCTAGAAAGTTATCCGTAACAGAATTATCCAACCTTTTTCATAACATTGCGCACACAAGTTTGTCGAGCCCTGGCTACTGCCTGGTTCTGGTGATCACATTTGTCTCAGGTTGAGATTTGCTTTTCTCTTTAACACACACACAAACACACAAAAGCAGTCAGACAAACTAGCTCTGTATTTTGCACCAATGAGACACTGGAACTGTGTTACTTTTGAGCAGCATTTGTTAGGAAAAAAAGTAGTATAAGGCGATGATGTTTCATAAAGCAAAAGCTTTAGATTCATTCTACCATACACATGAAAGATCATTTCAAGTATGTCTAGACCACAAACCTTTGACAAATAACATGCTCAGTTTTAGTACAGCTTAACTAATTCCCCCAGTGTAGACACAGTGACCTACAGCAGAGCAGGATCATCATCAGAAATCCAATTCAAGGCATCCTACAAGCAGCATCTACCAAGCTTTCTGGAAAACTGCCAAACATCTCCGTGCTTTTTGGTGGTACTTATTAGAGCCACAAGTTGTCGTGCTAGACAAAGGCAAATATGTGAACCTTAAATCGTCAGTGTGACAAATGTAGAGCTACTTCCTTTCCCTCAATTTCTACCTTAAAATAAGTAAAGAAATACATATATAAAAATACATCAATGAATATGCATCACAGGAAAAGTTTGGCAGCAATGCACTGTGGCCCTTCTGTTAGAGGTGTTACAGCACAATCTTCAATTACACAGAGGGAACACTGCCCTGGTCAGTGCCTCCCATGATGAGAAAAGGCTGCACAGCAAAGGAAACTGCTGAGCACTAACAGTGACAGCTTAAATGAATAGAGGCTACGACTTAAAGCAAATAACCGCCATCTAACAAACTTAAAACACACTCTGCTCATGTAAGTATATAAATCTGAAGCTTAGGCCAGTTGTTGAGACCACTTACAAAAGTCAACCTGCTTACCTTGGTCCGTGTTTAGATCGTGCATTTTCAATTGCTGATCTAATCCTCCACTCCAGGCATGAGTAGGATCCTGTAAAGCAAAAAAAAATTCACTTTATGACATGAATCAAGTTTCCCTGGCTGCTATGCTTTTAATCTCTAAGGCTCATAACAGAGGCCTTGTTTTCAAGAGTTTTGGGAAGATGGAAATTAAGACTCAAGGGTTAAGATTTGACTCGGATCTAAACAGGCACATGACAGAAGCTTAAATAAAGTACTTTGAGCTACATAAGTTTGTTTGGCTTTTTTTTATTTAAAAGCAAAACTAAAATAAAACAAATGCAGTTAGAGGCTATATCAAATAACTTCTATTCCTGTAGCAGTAAAATACATAATGCTGATTTTTAAATGACTGCACGCTAAGCCAGTCCCCCCTAATGGAAGTGTATTTTTTCTAAAACTAATTTGGAAACTAGAAACCATTTGAGAACCTGTGTGTTGATCCACAGCACGATACTAGCTATGGGACAAAAATTTAAAGTGATCCTTAAAACATTAAGTAACACATCAAGATCAAGTCACTGGAGGACATGCCAGAACTACAATGCAAAAAAAGATGGTGCTAATTAAAACCTTTTCTTTAAATAAAAAAAAGTAAAATGACTCCTGTGCCTGCATCCTTCACAGGAAATATATGTAGTTTAGGCCTAGAACAACATTCATTAAGAGAAGAATAATTGGCAGAAGTAAGCTATTCTTTTAACCCAGATTTCAGGCAGGATTTCACTATCCCATCTTGGGCACTTTATGTATATAAAAGAGTAATTAAAAAAAACCCCAGCACCTCACCCACTTACATAAAAAGCACAGTCCAGGACAGCTCCTGAATGTTGGTATTTGAGTCTCATGCTGTTGGCAGGAACATCATAGAGCCGGACAGTGTTGTCCCAGGATGAAACAAGGAGAAACTGAGATGTATTTGGACTAAACTTCACTGATGAAATACCATCATCTGGAGTTTGATTTAGTTTGAACTCGTTTGATCCTGTCATCTGAAGAACAGACAATTAACACACAATTTCAGTAATAACAAGACCAGAAGCCTAGAAAATCAGCTCACTAACTGATCCATCTTGGTGGTTACTGAAAGTAGACACAGAAGTTTACTCGCTTTTACAAAGAAGTTCAGAACACCCACATTTCTGACAAACTCTCTAAGATTCTAATCCCTGTCCAAAACCTCAATAAATTCCTCCACCTGTAGAGAGTTTTTAATTTTAAATATCAAATATCACATGGAATAAACAGTACAAAAAGTTTATTATTTTTATTATTATCTCTAAGTTTAGATATTGTTACTTACAAAAGGATTTTTCCTCCCATACTACTGTGTATGTGGCTGTACTTTTAAAAGAAGTAAATATTTATAAATTACTGCGAGAATCAAGAAGTTCCTTTTTAAAAAATGGAGAAAGAAAGGAATCTGATTTGAAAACCCCAACAAAAGGGGTTGATTTGTTTCTGATTTGGTATCACCGTTATAAACTTCCAAAAATTGCAATTGGGTCATCTTTTAAACAGTTTCATACTCTCTGCAACTTTCCAATCCCTAGGCTTCCATAAGTACAATAAAATATTTCCAATTAAACAGCATTAAGATTTCTTTTTTCCTCTTAGAGTCTAAAGAGGGTCAGATAAGAAAGGAAAGTTGTGCTTTGTGGGAAATGTAGAGCAAACACATAAATGTAACGTGACAGGATAAAAAATATCAACAATGACAGCAGAGATCTTGTGAACACTCTGAAAGAAGAAACTGTTCATTACATGCACACCATCAAAACCACCAGAACTTTCTTTTCAAGACTTCACAAAGCCTTAACAGCACATTTCCCTTACGCTAAAAGGACAGAGAAGTAAATGAGCTCAGATGTTCTATAACACTGTCACTCCTGAATGTGTTTGTACAACCGCAGAGGTAAGATTAGACCTCCGAGAATAAATGCAGAGAGAATGAACAGATGAACTAGCACAAGGTACAAATTAAGTGCACAACTATTCTAGTTCAGCACCTGTCAGAAACTAACCAATCAAGCTGTATAATTACACGACACATGGAATAAAAATCCACAGTGGGAAGTTTGGGGAGTGTTCTGTAAGACATCCTTCAAAAAAATAATATAAAAATACTCCCTATGTAAACTCAAAGTGCTATTTAAACATTAAGTGGTTAAAACAAAATGTTTGAAGAACAAGAAATAAAAACTTCTTTTCTTAACCTCTTTTTTCAGCTCTGCTTTGGCAATATTTGGGCAAAACACAGATATGCTTGAGAACATGCCACACGTGCTTCTATATAAATACTACAGAGAACTTGGCAGCACCTTCACCACACTTTAAATGGTGATGTGTACCTCAGTATTTCAGATGGATGTACAAAGACACAGAATCTAAAGGAATTCAGAACTACAAGAATTAGACTGGACATGCCAATTGCCTTGTCCACTCATGGCAGAAAACTCAAGCAGCAAACGTGAGGATTTGAGGCACCAGGTACAACAGTTACAAACCAGCCCAATAGCAATCGACAAGCAGCACTCCAGGAAGCAAAGTTACTTACATCAGAAACCTGGAAGGATGTCCCAAAGGTACTTTTAAACCAGAAGATTTTATCATATCAGTATTTAAATATATCCTACACTTTAATCAAACAGAGAACTCCGCACATTTTCACAGGAGTCACTGTCATGGCCACTTCAAACAACAAAGTTCTGGTAAAATTTTCAAGCACATGAGATAACCCATAAAGAGGACATTATAGGGAAGAGAGAACTCTGCACATTTTCACAACCGGCGTTGCCAAACAGGAATCATTGTCATGGCCACCTCAAACAACAAAGTTCTGGTAAAATTTTCAAGCACATGAGATAACCCATAAAGAGGACATTATAGGGAAGATGGACACTGCTGAAACTGCAATGCTGGCTACTACAAGGGGTGTCTTTTCAACTCCATCATTCCCAAAAGCTTATTTTTACTGAGCAGATAAGATATCAGTGCTTTCACAGCTCCTAACATAGCATGCCTTATCAGTAATCAGTTAATGTTTCTCCAACAAAGCAGGCTGCTTTGTGGAAAGCATTAGGACGCCCAGCCTGCACTTTCATTTAAAAAAAAGGTTCAAAATACCGTTTTCATCTTGCCCGAGTTCCGCTCGCTGCTCCACGCAACGCCAAGCAAAAGCTTTCTTCCTGCAGCGGATCAGGGAAGCACTGAGGCGTCAGAGACAAGGTCGCTCTCGCTATCCGTTCCCGGAGATGCACGGCGGGATGCGGGAAATGCTGCTGGCTGCGGCAGGAAGGGGAAAGACTAAGACATCGGCCAGAGAACCGCGGGAGAACCGGGTCTCTGGCACCGCGGGCCCGCCAGGGAAAGGAGGGGCGCGCCGGGAAGGCGGGAGGAAAGGCGGCGACACCCGGCGCGACTGAGGGGAGGGAGGCGCCAGGCCCAGAAGCTCGCTCTGCCTCAGCGCAGTGCCCCACGACGTAGGCCCAGACCCAGGCCGCCCCACGCAGAAAAACCCCCATCCCCGGTCCCAGCCCCGGCGCGAAGCACGACCTCACCTGAGGCCTC